TGATAGTGGTGGATTCCAATACAGTGAACTGTGAATAAATCTCAGAATGGCATTAACAGTGCCACAGAGCAGTGGGTAGCAGCTACATACGAAACGGAATATCTAAAATTACCTTAACAGGGTTTGTACATCTGAGGGTCAGTATCACCGAAAAAAACCCAATTTATATAACAGCCTTTCTAGAGATTAGGAACTTGGATTCTTTTTTAAATGATGAAATTTGCATGATTTAATAATTACTGAGGTAACAAATGAGTCTATGAGTTGTATGCAAAAAATAAAGGTTTAGGGAAACAAAGCAAAGAGGATCTAGAGTTCATTGAGTTCTACTTCAAGATTTCCTCCTTATTTTTGATAATTTTTAAAATTCCTTATCTTTTTCTAATTCCTCTTTCTTTCCCTCTCTCCCTCTTTCTTTTCCCTATTCCCTCTTTCTCTCTCTTCCTCTCCCGTTAATGTTCCCCCTCTGTTGATAGTAGGTATTATTTTCCTTCGAGATTTTTATCACATAAATGCCTCCATCTGGGTTCTTGTTCTTTGTGGTTTTACGTGACCTTAAGCAAGTCTCTCTAAGCCTACCTTGTCCGACAGTGATGTTGTAAAGTACAGATGAGCTCATGTGTCAGAAAAGTGCCTTGGAAATGTTGAAGAGAAAACCAAAGGCCCAAAAGGGCATCACTGGGGCTCAAAGCCCATGATACCAAACCTAGATTTAATACCTGATCTAACTGCAGTTTCAGCCTCTCCCAGAAACATAACCTTAATCAACCAGTCAGGAATTTTTTGGTCAAGCACCAGTAAAGTAATCTGTCCACTACCCGGCCCTCTCCTCCTGAAAGAAGAGGCAGAGTGATAAAAATCCTTCTAGCTTTCTTCCCTCAAAGAAAAGGTGTCCTGGCTCAAAATTACTCCTTTTCTTTTGTTAATTGATCCTTGCCCCACCCTTTTTTGCTATTAAACCTCATCATTTTGTACAACTCCTCAGAGCACCCTTTTAGTTGGTAGTTGGGATGTGGCCCAGTTCATCAATTGCTTAATAAAACAACTTAGACTTCCAGATTTACTCAGTTGAATTTTGTGTTTGTGTTTTTTAACAGAAACCAAGTAGTATATTATAAACATAATTTGTATGAATGATCATTCTTGATTTGTGCCTGCTCTGCATATGTCATCTAATTTCCCAATAACCTACAGTAGCTGCTCTCCTTCTATTTCACAGTTGAAGAGGTGAGGCATGGAGCAATTATTAACCTGCCCAAAGTCACATGGTTAATTTATGGTTGGTCTTTCTGAATCCTCTGGCAGAACTTACATCCAGTATACTGAAATGCCTTTTGAGAGTACTTAATAATAAAATGTATTACTTTTTTCATAAAGTTTACCAACAGCTTTCCCCAGTCTCAGCTGCCATTTGGGTATGTGCAAAATAGATAGAAAATAACTTTTCTCAGATGAAGAATATAATTTTAGTTAAAGTTTGCTCATTTGTTTATTTAGCAAATATTTATTGAACACTTACTGTATACCAGGAATCTATTTTACCCTAGGGATGTAGAAGTACTGTGTTTAAAAAAAATCCATATTCAGAGATTTCAACAGATTATTCTTGGACTGTTATCTCTGGGTCCATGTCTCTGGGATCTCAAGGATAGCACAGTGAACTGTAGTGGGATGGTTAATGATCTTTTAGAATGATCTTGTAGTTGGCTGTACTAATCTGTAGAGATGGAGTTAGAGAGGGTGAGCCACTGTGCCTGCTAAGTCTGGAAGCTTCTAGGGCCTGGCAGAGTAATGCGTGTCTCACTTTAAGCAGCTGTTTCTCTCCTGGGCTCTGCCCAATCTCAGTATTTTTCCTGAAATAAATGCCTTCTTCCCACTAGTCTTGACATTTTAAACCCATTTCGCCAACCTTCGTAAAATGTGAAAGATCAAAATCTTGCCCAATTACTCTTTTGTTGTTGTTCTTCAGAGAAGTTGGTTTGTGTGCATCATTGCATTGAAGTGGTTTTTTGTTTTTGTTTTTGCTTTTTAATCATCATTGAGGATACTTACCCACTGCTTTTAAAAGAGAGAGAGAGGAAGGGAGAGAGAGAGAGAGAAACGTTGATGCAAGAGAGAAGCATCGATTGCCTCCCTTACATACCTGGACATGGACCCGGACCAAGAATCCTGGATTAAACTCGCAATGTAGGCATGTGCCCTGACTGGAATCAACCTGCAACCTTTCTGTTATGGGACATCACTCCAGCCAACTGAGCCACAGTGGTCAGGACTTGCATTGGGTTTTGAATGGCACTTATGTAGTACATACTTCTGCCCAGTTCCAGATAAAAGATTTGTAAATGTTGACATGACAGCACCTCTGCCCCTAAATCTTGTTACAGAATTAGATCAGTTGTTTAGCATTCCCCCCCCTTGTTTCCTTTTCTTAGGCATTTTCCCCCACTGTGTATGTGTTATTTCTTTGGCAGACATTCTTTCCTACTTCTCTTTCTCCCCTGTCCCTTTCATACATTAAGGTAGAAATAATAGATGCCACATTTTGTAAAAACAATTCTGGAATGGAAAAATGGAAAGTAAATCAGAGGAAATTGACATTTTTATAGCACTAAGGCTGTTCATCCAGAATGTGGTATATCTTTCCATTTAAGCAAGTTTTAAAAAATCCATTTATTAAGAAAATTTTTAAACGTTCACAGAAATGGAGTAGTACAGTGAACCCCTATCATCTGCCAAGCTGGTTCAATAGTGATCAATATATTGCCAATCTTGCTTCATCTATATACCCTGCCCTCTACTTCTTGGTGGCATAATTTACATATGATAACATTCACCAATTGTATACAAACAATGATAGCAAGTCTTTTTAAAAATACTATTCCATTTATTCCCTCAGTATTTTGATATTAAAATTTTTTAAGTATAATTTAAATAGATTTAAGCAGATTTTTAAAATATAATGTCTAGTTGATGACATCTTGAAATATTATTCAACATGTCCACAGATTTTTTCCTATTGGAGTATCCTGTTTTGTGAGCATTGATTTGTTTTATTTACTGCTTCTTTCTTCCCAGTGTTATTAAACATAACAAAGTCCCTCCCCAGTTGTACTAATGTATGTTTGTGACATTATTCTGAAATGTTAATACTCATTTTAACTGTGTCATGTGTTAGTATTCTAAAATGGATTTCCTGCAAATGGTTTGTTTGTTCACAATAATTTATATTAAGTATAGACCCACCAGCTCTTTAAGTCTTCATAAGGAATACCTTCTCTCAACTCCTTCTATATTCAAATGATATTTTCCTTTCTATATTAGTTCCCTTGAATTACTGCAAATTACCACAAATTTGGTGGCTTAAGACAAAAGAAATGTGTTCTCTCATAATTCTGGCAACCAAAGATCTCAAATCAACACTTTGGTCTCTGAGAGCATCCATTCCCTGCCTCTTCTGGTTTCTGGAGGCAACTGGAATCCTCGGTGTTACTTGCCTTGTAGCTGCCTAACACCAGTCTCTCCCTCCATTGTCACGTGGCCTTCCTCTGTGTCTCTGCGTCAAACCTCCTTTTTCTTTCTTTCATAAGAACACCGGTCATTGGATTTATGGCCTAACCTAAATTCAGGATGATCTCATCCCAAGCGCTTTAATTATATGTGTAAGGACTCTGATTCCAAATAAGGTCACATTCACAGGTATTGAGGCTTAGGACTTGACAATACCTTCTTAGAGGATAGTATTCTGTCCATTGTACTTTCTAAATAGCAGACTTCTCTGGATTTCCATTTTACATCTGCAGGTGAAATCCAGACCACTTCAGAGCTTTGTGGTCTGAATGTTTGTGATATTTTTCAGACCATTGTCATGGAAAAGAATTGTAAGGCCATTAGCATATTTCCAGGATGGCCCAGGCTTCCAGTTCTTTTTTGCTTCCATTTTTTCCTTTCCTAATCCACTGTTCACAAGCTGCCCTGGTTTGGTTTTGAAAATGTAAATCTGAACATAATTCCCTTCCTCTTTAGGCTTTACCGGGAGCTTCGAATAAAGTCCTAACTCCTTTACCACTTTTTAAAAGCTGTGGATGATGTCTTCCCCCTGCTCTCTCAATACTGTGAGCCTTCACAGGCACTGTACTCTCTCCTTAGAATAGAACATTCTTTGAACCCTCTCTGGCTAATTACTACTTTAGATCTTAGCACAGATGCTTTTTTCTCTGTGGGCCCTTCTGAGACCACCCAGTTCCTGAATGTCTTCGTAGCATCCCTGTGCTTACCAATATTCACTTCTGGATTGTATCCACAAGGAGAGGATACCACATCTCTCTTGTTCACATTTGTAGACTCAACTTCTAACATTGTACACAATTCAGGTTTATGGAATGAAAAAATAAATGTAAAAACCAGCATTCTGGTTGAAGGCTCCATTATTTCTAATTCCTCTTCTATTTAAGAAAGTCTTGGGTAGAGCTGGTTTAGCCCACAGCTTCTATTGTCCAGAATCGCTGCCACACTTCTTTGGAAATGACTCACATACTTGGGGACCCACCAGCAACAAATCTTCTGTTATCTAGTCATCAGATCTGTGGCTTTGATGGGTCTGAAACTGGTCTCTCTAGTTTAAGAATACCCTTGTGAAAACTTCCCTTCTTTAGTGGGACAGTCAAAACAGTGTTCTCCCTGAAAAATCAAAAGCTACCTAGAAAGTGACAAAACTTGGGTTGATTGTAACAATAACTTGGAAATAAAATATTTTATGTATTATAATAGGTGTGAAAATCTTCTTAAACTTCAGTTAATTTTTTCCCAGTGAACTAATATTCATATATTATTAAATTCTAGGGGAGAAATATGCTTCTGTTTTTCTATATCAAATGACTTTGAGAAACTTTTATGTTTCTTTTTAGTCAGATTTATTTTATAATTTAAATATTCTACTTTTCTATTTTGTCTTAAAGATATTTTTCATATGTTTATATTAATTAGCTGTTCTTCTTTTATAGTTATGCCCCTTGGTGTCCTTCCTGCCAGCAGACTGATGCAGAATGGGAGATATTTGCAAAGAATGGTGAACTACTTCATGTTAGTGTGGGGAAGGTAGATGTCATTCAAGAACCAGGTACTGTAAATGTTGAACATTGCAGGCAAAAGTTTGTTACTTTTTATTTCAGATTTTTTTTCAAGAATATATAAAAGTTGAAGACTAGGATATTGCCACTCATGAAATTACCACCTAGAATCAATAGATAACATCTTGGTGTACCTGAGTCTGTCTATGTTACACATATATATTTCTATTTTTATTATTATTTTTTCTTTTGCTGAGTCATTTGAAAATAACTTGCAGACATCATGATACTTTGCCTTCAATACTTGGGCATGTTAAAATCTCCCTGATTATTTCCCACATGTCTTTTTATAGGTTTGGAACCAAGATCCAATCAAGGTTTTACCATTTACATTTGGTTGGTATATATTTTTAATAGTACTCAGTCTAGAATAGTCCCCCAGTTTTTTCATGACATTGACATTCTGAAGAGAATAGGCCAGATATGTACCTAGCTGTTTCCTTATATTTTATATTTTCTGCACTTTCTGTAAACTTGAAAGTCAGCCTAGAAGTGTGATTTGGTTAGATATATATGGCAAGAGTACTTCATAGGCAATGCTGTCACTGTATGATTAATACTACCAGAAGACACATACGGTCGCCATTAGCAATGTTGAATTTGAGCTTTTGGTTAACACTAAACATTAAACATCTCAGTTATAAAGAAAAGATCCCACTTTGTGATTAGCAGTAATCTGTGGCGTGATAATTTGGGGTTTTAAGGTACATAATGATCTTACCTGAATCAGATACTTTGTTGTGGGTTCCAGAATGATGAACTCCTAAATATGTTGTTTTATATATATATGCTGTTGATGTAATTTTTAAAAAGAAAATGGAGGGAAATAGAAGAATCTTTGTATTTGTAGTTAAAAATAAGTATTTATTATACCTAACTTGAGAAGAAAAGTGCAGTTTTTTTTTTTATGATTCCAGTCTCAAATTTGACTATTTTCAAACTTTAGGCATTTTTTCCTATCTAATTTCAACCTATTTCAACCTATTGTATTCTTTTTCAAAGAAAGAAAAGGTAGGTATGGAAATGTACCTATTAACTTTCTGTAATAACTATGATTTCAAAAAAAGACAGTACTGAATTACCAGTTACTTGGACAACGAAATTGATGGTGTCTGTTAAGATCAATGTGTTGACAATGTGGAGAGAGATTTCTATTAAACGCTATTAGTCCTCAGGCTTCCAGTTTTTTAAGCATTTGAATCAAAGCCATTTCTGCCCATCTGCTATTTAGAGATGGGAAATTATAGTTATTAGTTCATGGTTTTGGCTATTGTGATGAGTTTTTATGTTTAGAGGTCAAATCATTGCAATTACATTTTTGCTATGTACTTGTTTTCATCTTTTAGTAGGTTGAGTCCTGTTCAACCAGGTGAAAGCCATGTTCATTACTGGGCACAGACATTTTTTGAGGAGTTTCTTGAAAATGCTGCCATTTGGTTTACCTGTTGTGAATTCACAGCAGGATTTGAATTAAAAGAATTAAGCAGCTTTGTGATGGATTCACAAATCTAAAGTCTAATTGAATATAGTCTTTCCATCTAAAATGTTGATTGATAGTTACTTTTTCTATTGTGATTTGTGCTTTTTTGATAATGAGGTAACAGAAAAATTGTTTATGATGAAATAGATTAGAAACAAATTCATCATTGACTCATACTATTTATGTAAATATAAGTAATATATATTTGAAATATCTATCGAAGAATAAGGAACAAAAGGTCTTTGGTCTGGTATTCTATATAATTAAAAAAGCAAAGTCTAAAAAGGAAAAATGATTGTTTTTACGTATGTAAACAATTTTTTTAATGTAGAGGCTCTAGAATTATTTTAAGTGATAAAAACTAACTCACAAATAAAAATTAGAAGACAAAATTCTACACACTTGATTGAGTAGACGAGAATATTTCACTTCAGATTATTCTATCATATATTGGTAAATTTAACTTACAATCTTAGTGTTTTCAATTAATGTATTTATTCAACAGTATTTGAGTTCCCACCATGTATCAGGCCCTGTTCTGGGTACCAGTGATTCAGATGAATGGAACAAGTGATTAATGGTAAGGGTGAATAAGGAGACAAAGACTTGGCCCCTCATTAAGTTTACAATCTAGTAAAGGAGATAAACAGTAACAAAGATAAAGTGGAAAATATATCTGATGCTAGCAAGGGCTATGAAGAAACAGAAAAAAGGGTAAAAATATAGAAAATACTGGGATCCCCCCATTTTAAATAGGGTGGTCAGGAAAGACCGTTTGACCAGAGGTCTTGCTAGATTGAGGAAGTGAATCTCAGCAAGCTTTCAGGAAGGAGCATTCCAGACAGAGCAGAGAGCGCGTGCAGGTGTGGGGGCAGGGCACTTGGCCTAACTGAGGAACAGTATGGCGGCCAGTGGGGTACTCCACATGAATGGGGCTGGAGAGGTAGCAAGGGACCAGACCATGTAGGGTGTCATAGGCCATGGCAGAGAGTATCATTTTCATATTAAGTGTGATAAGAAGGAAACTAGTGGAAGGTTTTGAGTCAAGATAGTGACATGACATGATTTATGTTCTAAAAGAACTCCTTTGGCTGCTATGTGAAAAATTGTCTATAGGTCAGAAGTGGAAGCAAGAAGAGACATTAAGATGTTACTGCCGTATTGCAGAGTGAAGATGGTGGCTTGGACTAGTGAGTGGCAGCTGTGCTGAGTAGCTGGATTGGAGAGACTACATTTGGCTGGAACATCCAAAAGCATCTTCTGATAGATTGGTTACTATAGCAGTTGGTGGAAGGAGAGATGGAGGGGTAGGATGGGTGGAGGAGAGTGAAGGGGGAAAAAAATCGAGGCAACTGAAATAGAATAACAATAAGACATATTTTTTAAAAAGAGAGATGGAGAAGATTGAAGGAAGAACACATTTGAGACAGATCTAAGTTTGAGATGTTTCACAGAAATCCAAACAGAGATGAGCTAGACGTACACATTTGAGGTTCATCAGTGTATATAGTGTTTGAAATGACAGGTAGAATTGAAATTACCTAGAGACTGTGTGCCAGAGAAGTGTTTTGGGGATTGAGAACTGAAGACTCCAACATTTAGAAGAAAGGAAGCTGGAGCAGAAGAAAAGTAGGAGGGAAAAGGAGAAGTAGGAGGTCCTGGAAGCCAAATGAAGTGTCTTGTGTGGTGCAGATTCATGAGCAAATTTCTGGGGTGCTTGCCTCTATTCTTGGAAGCTATTTGAGTATAAAAGTACTTCACTTTTATAGAATCTTAACATCCTGAGTGAGCCCTGGGAAGCCATTGAAATGTTACTGGCTTTCCCCACAGTTGAGTACTTTACTGGATGTTTCTGTGTACAGGTTTATATTTGGTTCCAGATCTCCATTAGTATATTCTTTCATCAGGGCTGCCCTGCCATAGGAGTGCTGCTGGTAAGAGGTGATTTCTTTTCCCTGCAAGTAAAATTTAAAAAGAAGGAAAGGAAGAATTTTTGAAGTGTTCATGCATAATTCTTTAGTTATTCCTATAAATATTCCATTGGTGCATTTAACAAATTTTTTAGGATTTCAGAATTATAAAGACTGAGGATTGCAAATACATTGCATTTTCACAGCTGCGATGGAGAAATTGAGGGAAGGACAGACTTTAGATTATATAACATTACATTGTTGTTTAATACAGCATAAATCAGGTGATGTGTTGGTTAAGTTGACTTTGGGAAATTAAACTTAATGCATGTGTACTTGAACCTTCTGTTCCATGCAGATGAGCTTCGTTGTCATGGACAGGAAAACAGTAGCTGCTGACTAGAGTAGAGATAAACCAGACTCCTTCCATGGCCAAGAATAATCTTCGTATTTAAAACCATTAATTAATTACAGAAGCCAATTTAGTTTACTGTACTTCAGTTAGTGTTAATATTTTAACTTTATAATTATAAAAATTAGTCTTCTCTTGACAACTTTATTTCAATTTCAAAGATAAAGTTCACTGTACTTTTTTATTCATTGTTTTTCTTTTGCTTCTCTCTTTGATGATCATTAATACTCACTTAGTTAAGCATTTACTTCACCACTTATATACATTTCAGCTTCCTAACAAACCTAGGAATAACAAACTGTTTCTCTCTATACTACTCAGGAAACTGCAGTTTGGAGAGGTTAGGTCGTATGTCCAAGGTAACACTGCTAATAAATGGTAGAAGAAAAGCTAGTAGCTCTCTGCATTTTCTTAAGATAGAACTTAAATAAATTCTGTTGTTTTTTCATATCAAAATATAGTTCTCTGTCATAATTTTTCTTTCTCCAATCTTTTAGTTCTCTTTCTTTTGCTATATATGCTTAAGATAAACTTGCTAATATGAAAATTTTTCTGCATTTTGAGTTAAGGCTTCTTTTATGTTGCAATATAGTCTCCATTTTAAAGTCGTAGTTAACTTTAAAAATGAAAGCTTAATGTGAAAACAGCATGTAGAAATTTTGGGAGACCTTGTGGTCAAACTTTATCTCTTACTTGAAGGTTTAAGAGTTCACTTGTCTCCTCCACACTTACTGAAACTTGTTGCAATGGATCATTATGCAGATCTCAAAATGAGCTGTTGCATGCTGTGACAATTCTTTAAAGTCCACACTTAACTGGTTTTTTAAGCCCTGAAGCCACAACCTAAGATGGTGCTTCTCTGTTTCAAGCTGGTCATGTTTTCAGGTAATGAATGTCTCCCTTGAGACTTCGTAACACCAGTGTGAAAGGTTAGGAGACATTTTTGGAGCACTGACATGACACCCAGGGCTTTCTGACCTCTCAGCCCTTCAGAAATGACATTTATTTGAGATGAATTTTCTGTGGTGTCAGATCTTTAAAGGCTTAGTAGTTGTCATAATCTAAGGACAACTTTGGTTGCTTTTGATTTTGTTGTTGTTGATTTTACTGCATACATCCTCAGTGGCAGTATATTATTCCAGACAAAAAACAATTCATATCTGAAGTAGATGCTATAAACCTGTTATTATTCCACATGGGTTGTCATTTGAAGAAATACTAACAAACAAAAGTGAAAGCAATCTTGAGGTACAACAATTTATTAATAATGGTTATTATTTTAAATGAACCTTAATTAACAGTCTTGTATATTGTTACAGTTACTGAAAACAACACAGCAGTTCGTGTCAAGAGCTATAAAATTCTTATAACCTCTAACCCAGCAATTTCAGGAACATTCTGTCCTATCTTCTAGCCTGAATCAGAAAGATGCAGAAAAATCTCAGAGACCATCTGTCACAGTATTTCTTTTTTCTTATTTTCTCCGTACTCATTGATTTTCATGAGCACATTTATTAGTAAAGATATGCTTTGTTATCCAAAATGTAGACTTTCCAATGCACTTAAAATAAGTTAGCTTGTGTTTGTTACATCATCTCATCTTACTCCAATTTAGAATCAATGATTTTTAATATAGCAAATAATAGCTAGCATTTTTATTTAGTACTTATTACGTATCACATATTGTTTTCTATGTGATTAACAATGTAAAATTATTTAATATTAAAATGCTATGAGAAATTATGATGCCTATTTATAATAAAACCAAAGACTACAGAATATAAATTTAATGTCCCTGGTTAAAAATGAATACAAGGCAGAAGTGGGTTTGATGCCAGGTAAATGGGCATGTGACACTGGAAATGCTGCCTTGCATATTGTGTTGGGTTGGCCCAAAAGTTAGTTTGTTTTTTTCTATAAGATTGTTGTAGTAGCACTTAGTTGTCTTTAGCTTTATTTGAAACAATTGTGTTAGATTGTATTATAACACCTGTCATATCAGTGTGCATCAAAAAAAATCTTATCAAAATTGGTGAATTTTTGTATAGTTATTTTAATATCAAAGATGGAAGAAAACGCACATTTTTGGCATATTATGCTTTATTATTTCAAGAAGGGTAAAAACATAACTGAAACACAAAGAAAGATTTGTGCAGTATATGCAAAAGGTGCTATGACTGATAGAACAGTCAAATGTAGCTTGTGAAGTTTTGTGCTGGAGACTTCTCCCTGGATGATCCTCCTCGGTCGGGTAAACCAGTTGAAGTTGACAATGATCAAATTGAGTCATTGAGAACAGTCAATGTTATATACCACTCAGGAGATAACCAATATATTCAAAATATCCAAATCAATTAAGTTATTGGTGAAAATGAAAACTATGTCTTTTATTTTACAAAAAAACCGTACAGACTTATTGGCCAACCGAATGTAATTTAATGTGTTTTATGAACTTTTTTATATTTATTGGTTACTTTTTAAATTATTGCCATGGCCAGTGATGGCCAAGAACATATGAAGGATTTTAAAGAAAAACTTAAAAATATTGTCTCAGCGATAACAGTTATTAGAAATTATATGTATGTATTCTGATAAAAATAAAACCTAAATAGAAAGTTGAAGAAGTGTTCATTCCATTTAAAAAGATCATGTATATAAAGGATAATTCGCTAGCATTGTTACTCTCCATAGATACAATTTTTGGGTGGCCATAAGAATCTCTAGCTAGTAAAGAATTGAGTTCTGAAATTGTTTATAATCATTATTTTAGTCAAAAGCAGATGATAATTTTTAAGCCCTTAGGATTACCAACACTCCTCCCCCGCACCCCCGCAATTCAGAATTGGAAATACACTAAAATACACCCTCGTTCCTTGCTAGGGCAGAATTCCAAACAGTGTTAGAGGTGAAAATGCCCTGTGGGCAGTACTTGTTGCAGTCCTCAGTCGACCTCTCTGGTTGCTTGTGTTTGTTACTGCCAGTACAATCTTTTTTGTTTTTAAAGTGTACAATGATAAATGTATGTAGTAAATGTTTCTTTTTGTCACATTGACTTTTACTTCCTTCAGAGTATTGTGTTTTCTTTTGAGTGCGCGAGGGCCATTATAGAGTCAGTTTGGTTTGATATGAGAAAAAAATCGGAACCTTTCTTTGGGAAGACTCATCACTAATAGATAAATTATTATGCTGAATACAAATTTAATTTATAAAATGGGTATAAGCAAATTTTGTGTTATTAAAAGGAAACCTTCAGCATTTCAAATTGCAAATGACCACAAAGATGTGATATTTGAGCTACTTTATTTGAATAGATACTTGATTTTGTCCAAACTGTTCTTCAGTGACAAAAGCGGAAGTGATGAGAAATGTGAAAATGATCTCTCTGTCAAGTTCCCATGCTGCTTGAGAGCATCCTTTAACTTTCCTTTTCTTTGCCAGAGCCAGGGTTCCTCATTCTTGGTGCCCATGTAAATATTATTTATTTGTAAACATTTAAAGAGCCAGGGATTTGTTCTTTATTCCTAACCTCATTCAGGTTTTTGTTGCATACCCTTTTCTTGATATCATCTATCTCTGTTCATAGTCATGATTTTAAGTATTAAGGTTTTTTCCTCTGCCACTAACTAGACAGTAAGTTTTGTGAGAACAAAGACTACATGTTTTTGCTTGTCTTATGTGTCTTGAGTGCTTATCACTGTCCCTGAACAAAGAAGATAATTAGTGAATAATTTCTGAGTGATTAAGGATTTTATTTATCTTTGTTTTCAGTTGTACTTAGCATAACATTTGATATGTAGTTAGTGTTAAGTAAAGGTTTCCTAAGACAAACTGAGAAAACCTGTTTAATGTACATATAGTCCCTTGACAGTACTTGCAGATTTTTTAAATGTGCAAAGATTATACATGCTCTTATTTTAGATTCTTTGTTATTATGATTTTAACCTATGTCTGATCTATAATTTATTGAGTTTTTCACTATGTGCTTAGCACTTAACACACTGAGCTAACCTAACTTCAAAACAATTTGGTTAGACTTTACCCACTTTACAGGTGAGGTAACTGAGACTCAAAGGTTAAGTAATTTATCTAAGGGCATAAAGCTAGTAAATTTAGTATGTAACTCAGGTTGCATGACTCTGACCTGCCCTGTCAGCCACCATACAATTCCAAGTGATACACAAGACAGGAAACTTCATGTCTTACCTCAAAGATAAGCAAGTTGTATGTCAGTGGCTGGAAAGTGTTAGGTAATAAAAATGGGTAAAAATAAAATTTCTTTAAGTCAAAAAAAATAGTATATGTGATTTAATAATGTGGTTATAAAAGCAAGCTCAAGGCAACTTGTTCTTACAACTTAGGTTAGGTGCTTGGGTTAGTCTGAGTTTGACTTACAACTTTTTTTGTTTATGCTTCTTGTAGGTTTAAGTGGTCGCTTCTTTGTCACCACGCTTCCAGCATTTTTTCAGTAAGTTTAAATAATTTTCTGGTCTTGTAAATATTAAAAATCTGTAGACATATACAAGAAATTCTAAGTTGTTTTCCATAACCACCACACATGCAGCCTAACATTTGAAGGGTGAGAGCCGGCTCTGCAGGAGTGAGAGCCGTCAGGAGAGAGGACGCCCAGAGTGCTTCAGAGAAAGCAACCTAAGTTTACGCAGCTAGATTGGGGGGGGGGGGGTCAGGGAAGACTTTTCCGATGACATAAAAGGTAGGATGATTCTTAATAGATAAGGAGGAATTGGTTAAATAGACAAGGTGGAGAAAACCTTTCCAGATAGAGGAGATATCATGGAAAGGCTCAGGAGAAAATGAGGTACCTTATGAGAACTGTAACTAGTTCTGTATGGCTAGCCAAAGGGTATAGCTGGATCATCCCAGACAGTGAGGCTGCAGAGGCTCAGGTAGTCAGAGGGGAAAGAGAAGGAAGAGATGGGTTCTGGAGATGCTTAGAAGGTGGGATCACTGGGACTTGGTGACTGATTAGCCATAAGGAAGGAAAAGTCTTGATGACAACCAATAGGCCATGTATAACTAGTAAAAACTACTAGAATAAAATTAAATTTGGAAGATAGAGGCCAAAATGGAGAAGATAGTGTGAAGTGACTGTTAATTTCAAATAAGGATTTGAGGATCTAAAGCTCAGATTAAGGATTTAGACTGGAGATACATACTGGGAATTTTCAAGCATTGAGGTAGATGAGTTTAAATATATTTAGAAAGAATGTATGCAGAATAGAAATAGGTCATGGATAAAACTCAGGGTTGACCAACCTTAGGACAGGGAGTAAGGAATTGAGAAGGGGTGGTCAGAGTAGGAGGAAGAAGTCCAGAGAGCTCATAGAGCCAATGGAAAGGTGGGAGGGAGCAATGGTTAGTGGTGGGCAGTGCCAGAGACAGACAAAAAAAAAATGGCAGAAAAGTGCCTCGTGGATATGGCACTCGAGTCATTGGAGACCCCCACTATGAACAGTTTATATGGAATCATGGACGCAGAACTGCAAGTTGCACAAATTGTGAATAAGTAATATATGAGGAGAAAATGGCAAGTGTAGACTCTTCCCTTAGGAAGCTTGACTGTATAGAGAAAGCAGAAGTGAGGGAAGACTGAAGGGGTGTGTGAAAATAGGAAGTGTTCTGTTAATTTTCAGGGGACATGAATTTTTTAAAACTTGATAACTGCTGTTTTCCTGTTGTAGGAGAAAAATTGAAATACTTGGTAGCAAAAATAATAAAAAGTTACTTGGCAGGAACTTTGCTTATGATCACAAATTTTGCAGTGATAAAGTAGAATCTTTAATGCTTTCTGTTTTGGAATTTCTCATTTGTAATTAATATTTAAGTGTGCTTTCTGATTTATGGCTATTTTTTTTCTTCATTTGAGCCAAGTTAAAATTTAGAGTGTAGTTCACACGTAAAACCCATAATTATTTTGATTCTTATTATCTGTAATACTTGTTATTATAATGGGCTTATTTTCTATTTGTTTTTATAATTTATAGTGCCAAGGATGGGGTATTCCGTCGCTACCGTGGCCCAGGAATCTACAAAGACCTGCAGAATTATATCTTAGAGAAGAAATGGCAATCAGTTGAACCTCTGACTGGCTGGAAATCCCCAGCTTCTTTAACGTAACTTGTAATTTTATTTTTTTTTTAATGAGAAGGTGTTATTAATAAAATGCGTGGTATCAAGTGACCAGTTCATGGGCCTTGAAAAGCTACACTTTTCTTCATACTCACTTCTGGTTACCTACACTACATATGACCATGGTTAGACCATGTTGTGTTTCTGGTTTTATGATCCACATACATTTCAGCTAGTTAGTGTACTGGAAGTAAGTATCCAGACTAAAGCGGGTTACAAAAAGCCTCCCCCTAACATTAGCACTAAGCCATGTAAACTGTTTTCCCTTTACAAAATACAGTATTGAACACATTGACCAATTTACCATTCTTCCTTTTAATGATTGATAAGATATGGAAGTGACTTCTTCTTGAATTATAGTTTATGCAGGAATTGCTATTGAATCGATATGGAAAATAAAACCTGTGATGCCTTTGGCTGCCCAGCAGCATACTGCTAGGTAACTTACGGCCGTGACGGCAGGCTGCGTAATAATTGGTGAGGTAGATAAGGCCAAACCATAATAACTTTTTACATAGTAGGTTTTAATTTTGAATGAGTTGTCATATTTGTAATTAATTTTGTTAGTATATACAAGGGTAAGGAATATCCTTGCTGAAAAAGGATCAAATTATGCAATAATTCAGGAATAAATCATCTAGTAGCATTTATTTAATACTCAGGAAATATATAGCTTAGTCTAAAAGCAGCTTTTCATTCTATAAATATTTGAGAAATGATTTTATGCCAGATACTGTTCTAGGTACTGGATATTCAAAAGTGAACAAGACAGACATGGTCCCTCTGCTCTCCTCAGGTGCCTTAAAGTAAAGCATATTAAGAGATAAACTAGGGATATAAAGAATCATAGAGTGTTTAAAAAATACCAAATAAGCAAAACCCTTTCCTAAGTCAGGGAATAACTGTAGGCATGGACCTCTGCTGGATAAGGGGCCAGGAGAGGCCGTTCTGAGGGAGGACTCAGGATGGAACAACCTAGTCAGGTGATAAGCAGGGGAAGAATATTTTCAGGACTGGGGACAGGCCAAAACTTGCAGAGCTTGGTGTGTTGAGCAGAAAGGTGGCTCGGGTCAGGACAGCGAATGGTATGTAAGCTGAATAAGAGAGACAAGCAGAAGCCAGATCACACAGGCCTTTGACCACATTGAGGAACTTGGATGTTATCAGTGCATGCAATGACAATGTGGCTTTTAGAAGAAGAGATGGGGAGAGGAAGGACAGATGAGGTCAGACAGATAGAAGGCTGTTGCAATATCTAGCCTAGGAGTAGTGCCTAGTGCACATCAGAGTGGCAACAGTGGGGAGAGAGAAAATGGGTGGGTTTAATACATGTTTTGAAGGTAAGTCTGGCTAAGGTGAAGGGGAGGGAAGATTCACAAAAAATCTTTTGGGTTTCTGATTTGAGTACTTGGTGGGTCCTGGTACCAGTTACTGATTTGAGCAAGAAAGCACCAAGTTCAGTGTTAAACATTAAGTTTGAGATGCAGACTTCTTCGTAGAGTCGTCAAGTTGGATGCATGGAGATGGGTCTCCACGGAGAATTGACACAAATACAGAACATACTGGTGGCATTTAAAGCCTTAGAAGGGAGGAGATCACCTAGAGAGAGAGAAGAAAAAGGAAAGTGCTTGGGACCTAGCCACAAGACACCCCAACATTAAGAATTTGGGTAGAGAAGGAGTCAGCAAAAGGAGTCAGGAAATCGAAAATGAGTACCAGTGAGTCAGGAGGACAAGCAGGAGTATGAACTTCCCTAGAAGCCAGGGAAATTAGGGTGCTCAAGCATGAGGTGTAGTTACTGTGTCTCATGTTATCAAGAGGGAAAGAACATCAAGTCTGAGACATGGACGTTGGACAAAGTAATGCAAGGTCATTGTGGCCTTGACAAGTAGTGACATTGTAGTAGTGAGGACGGAAGCAGATTTGAATGGGTTAAAGATAAGGTAAGGAAGAAGAAAATGCCAAGTGTGGACTACTCCTTGGAGAGATTTGTGAAGCTGGAGGGCCACAGGAGGCCCATGATGCTCTTTTTAAAAAATGAGAGAGGGTAGAACATGTTTTCATGGTGATGAAAATGATCCAGTAGAAATTAAGAAATCGCTAATGCAGGAAGAGGCGTTGACAAAAAAGAACCAAGTCGTTAATAAGCCAAAGGGGTGAGATCCAAGGCACAAGTCAGGGAATTAGACTGTGGGAGGGCACATAGACTTTCTGTGTGAAACAGTAGAAGGTGATGCAGGTGAGCACCAGGCTCAGATTTGGTGGTGGAGAGATAAGGAAGATCACATGGTGGCTTCTGATTTCACAGTGATACATGAGGAGTGTTTGTTAGCTGAGAACGCGTGGGGAAAGGAGGTGTGTGAGGGTTTGAAGAGAGGGAAAAGCACGTGAGCCTGAAAAGTGCAGTATTGAGTGCCCACTGAGGTTTGTGGCTGAAGGGAGAACAGTCAGCTGGTCACCCGATTTTTCCCCGGAGACATGCAGCTGCCCAAGGTTGGGGTTTTTGCCAGGTATTTACAATGAAGGGAGGAAGGGCCAGGCGATGTGGATATATTTGCAGCAGTGGCTGAAATGATGGCTGTGGAGTTGAAGCTCTATATGAACATGAGTGAATCTAGGAGAGAGGACTGTGTTGCAAAAAGTGGAAGGGCAGGTCCTTGGGACCTGAGTTTTGCTTTTACATAGTGTGCATCACCAGTGGTTCTCTTCTTTCTTAGGATGTCGGGAATGGCTGGTCTTTTTACCATCTCTGGCAAGATATGGGTAAGTAATCTGAAATACAACTTCTGATTATCTTTGCAGAGGGTTCTTTAAGAGTGAGAATGTAACTTCTAAATGAAAATAAACATTGTAAATACTATTATAATTTCACTTCTTAAGCCACACAGCTACTCTCACAAAGGGTGCCCAGTGGAAATGTCTCTTTGTGTAGAAAGGCATAAGTTAAATTTGACCAGTAACTGCTGTGTCAAAGTCATATTTTCTTAGATCAGCAATGAATTTCCTTATCTAAATTGAATCAGGCTTATGTGGTTTTACTTCATTTTATATTCCCATTGTCATAATCTCTCTACAGATCAAAGATTATCCAAGCCTGATAGTGTTCTGTATGTCAGGGATCAGCAAACTACAGCTAGAGGGCTGGCCACCTATTTTTGTAAATGAAGTTTTATTGGAACACAGCCATGTTCATTCATTACCTATTGTCTCTGGCTGTTTTCACTCTACAGTGGTGGAGTTGAATAGTTGTGACAGACACCATGTGGCTCAAAAGCCTACAGTATTTACTCTTGTCCTTCAAGAAAACGCTGGGTCACCTCTGCTGTACGTGATTATGTCATTTCACTGAATTTGAACTGTTATTTAGATTAAAAGGTTGAACAATTATGTAATCTTGAATGTGTCACAAAACCTTGTGCTCCCCTTATGTGCAGAGTGGGCTAAATCCTGCAGATTTAATGTGCTGTGGAATTAAAAATGTATCCTTAAAGTACTTCAAATCTTTAGAAATGAGACCCCATATTTGTCTTTTCTAAGCTCTGATTGTGGGCCAGGGTGTCATATTTGGAACTTAATATTCAAGGAGTTTATGGAGACTCTTACCGTGTCTCATGCACATTAATGTATGAGTATGTTGAGGGAAATTCAAGGACAAACATTTGTATTCCAGTTTTTTAATTGTATTTTATTTTCTGTGTTGTGAGATAGAATACCAACTTCAGGATTTTTTTCTTTTTTTAACAACAGAAGCTAAATTGGTCACTTAGATACAGTAGTTGCTGGTTAAATTTGTTAACGTTTTTTTGTAATTATGTGTAATCTTAAACAGTAACTAGCATTTTTCCTCTCCAGGTTGTATGAGTTTCACATGGTTTCCTTCTACTATTTTTCATAATAACTCTGAGAAGTTTATTCAAGGGCTGAGATTTATGAATTTCCAACTGGGAATTGAGAGTAAGGGATCCTGTGTTTTGTAGTCGACAGAGTCATACATATATGGTGGTAGCCACTTGAGAGACTTAGTCTTATAATGTTTAATTTAATAGGATAATTATGATACATGAATGTCAGGAATTACTGAGAGAAGGTCTTAATATAGAACCTAGAATAAGTGCAGGTCAAGAGATGAATTTGTTCTGTGGATTAAGGTGTGCTTTAGGTGGAAGTTAGCCATGGTTTTCACACACTGTTAAAGTGTTTTACTTTCAAACGTAGTAATCAGAGAACAGAAATAATTGCCCTGATGATGTGTAACTTGGCATTTAATACTTAGATAAACAAGAGATTAAGCCAGGAGTTAGAAAAGTTGTTTATTAGATCATGCAAATGATTACGGTGTGTGGCATTGTCACATCAAAGCCAGGGATGGTTGTCTTATCATTATATATGCACAGTGCTCAGCCATGGACAGCGCGACAGTCTGTGTGGATGCATTGGACTGCAGAGAAAGAGCCACTTGGAGAATAGAATATGATCCATCTCTGAATAACCAATTAAGATACTTGCCTTAGGTATTGGCACGTAGAATATATATGCTATTTATATATGTATTTAGAATGTCTTCACAGATATTTAAAAAGGGTAGTTTTATAAGATAAACTATAAAATTTGACACAAAAAGTTTCATTTTACATTTCATAAAGTTGCTTTTACCTAATGTTAAAACCATATATTTTTGCCCAGGCGGGTGTGGCTCAGTGGATTGAGTGCCAGCCTGCAAACCAAAGGGTCACCAGTTTGATTCCCAGTCAGGGCATATGCTTGAGTTGCAGGCCAGGCCCCCAGTAGGGGGTGAGCAAGAGCAAACACACATTGATGTTTCTATTCCTCTCTTTCTCCCGCTCTTCCCCTCTGTCCTAAAAATAAGTAAATAAAATCTTTAAAAAATATATTTTTTTCTTTTTGGTTATCATTTACCTGGATTTTTTTCCTACTGTCAGTCTTTTTGTTGTTGTGTTAGTTAGTTAGTCTCGTAAAAAGTATATAGCAAGAAGTAATGCATCTAACTGATCGATTTAGTCCATTCATATTTATTGCGATCACTAACACATTTGCCTTGATTGTAGATTGTGTGTGGAGGTGTGGGGGGTGGGGAGGAGTGTACCTGACTAAAAGAACATAAATTGGTAGAATTGTAGATTATTTTGATCTTTTCATGTGTATTTATACATTACCTTAAAAATCTGTAATAGAAATCTGATATTATCCTCTGTATCATCATACAGCTTGCCGAAGCCTCTTAACAACTTTTTTGGTTGCTTTATTTCTTAAAAGCAAATCCCTAGCCTTTCATGAAATCTCTGGGAAGGGCTCATGCCATCTGTGTTTCTATAATTTACCTCTCTTGTGTGTTCGCAGAGAGTAAGATCTCTGGCCTGGTAGGATCCATTCCTTGGCTACCTGTTGGTCTCTGGTTTCTGTTGGGTTGGCCAAAAAGTTAGTTTGTTTTTTTTCTGTAAGATGGCTGTAGGAATGCTAGGTTGTCCTTAACTTCATTCAAAACAATTTTGCTAGATTGTTTGTGACAGCTGTCATATCGGGGCGCACTTAAAAAAAACTTAAGATTAGTGAATTTTTGTGTGGCCATTTTAGTATTGAAGATGGAAGAAAATGTGCAACATTTTTGGCATATTATGCTTTATTGTTTCAAGAAAGGTAAAAATGCAACTGAAACAGAAAAAAAGATTTGTGCAGTGTATGGAAAAAGTGCTGTGACTGATTGAATGTGTCAAAAGGGTTTTGCAAAGTTTTGTGCTGGATATTTCTCGCTGGACCATGCTCCATGGTCAGGTAGACCAGTTGAAGTTGATAGCGATCAAATTGAGATATCAAGAACGGTAAATGTTCTACCATGTGGGAGATAGCTAAATACTCAGATTATCCAAATCAATAAAGTTACTGGTGAAAATGAAAAATGTGTCTTTTATTTTATGGAAAAAACTAAAGAGAACTGTTGGCCAGTTCAATACATGAACCTTTAGGCACAGTCTTACCATGCTGCTCCTACAGAACCACTTATGGAGACAGTCCTCCTAGCTGACTACCCAGCCAAGTCAGGTAGATAATTTAACTGGCTCTTCTTCCTGGCCCAAGCTCCTTTTATCGGTGTTGAGTATGTGATTGTAGGGAACATAATCTTTAAATCACATCTAGACAATAAAAAAAAAAAAAAAAGGTAATGCAACCAGATTAACAATGAAAAGAAAAACACAGCATGCAGTGGGAGAGACTGAGCGAGAAAATATGCCCAGAACTAAAAGAGTATAAAGTCTCCAAGAAAGAAGATAAAAACAGGGAAGAAGGAAAGATTGAGTGGCTAATGCCAGTGAGGCGAGGTTGCGGATGCCCATCCTCAATCTCTTACCCTGGGAGTCAGGCTTTTCTCAGCAAAAGTCTTCCCTGAATGGGTAGTTGGTTAATGTAAGTTCTTCCATAGAGAAAATTGTGTATGTGGGGTGAAGATAAAACAGTATGTGTACTGTTACGTTTATATGGAGTTTTTATTTATATATAGGAAAACACCTAGAGAGCTTAATCAGATATCAATAATGTCTATCTCTGATACTGAAATTATGGCTGATTTTTTAAAAATGATTTTTTCTGTGTGAAAAAGATAGAACAAAAAGAACTTTCTAGAAGATCAAAGCCCAGCAAACTAGTGATTCCTTAAAGTCCCTGAGTTTCTGCCCTAGGGGTTAGGAGGAAGCCAAGCTCGCTGGGCCTGGTATTTTGGAAATGAAAGCTGCTGTTCAGGATGTCAGGATCACTTGGTGAGGAGACACCCACACAGCTGAGTTCCTATGAACTCAGGGGTTTTGTTGGATCCTGCATTTGGCTTTCTTAACTCTATACTAGCCTCCCATGTTCTTGCTTGGGTAAACCCTTGAGGTGAGGAAGTCCCTTGAATAGTTTATAAGCCAGATCCTATCAACTTCCTGCTGTCAGCTTGAATCCTAGGGGTCCTCGATAGGTAATTTGTACCACAGTGTCGGGGAAGGGTAGATTATCTCAAGTGTTCTTTCTATCACCAGTATTCAAATTGTTTCCCCATTCTAGTCATGATGGTATTCCCCTATGTATTTAAAATTTGTACGTGGACACATAGAAGAAGTCATTGTCACCTTAGCTATAATATCTATCCTTATGTGTAGTCTTGACATTTACCTGCCTCACAAGAGCCACTAAAGCCTGGAAGATGGACCACTAGGGGAACATCTCAGAGTAGACATCTTCTGGATACAGAATTGATACTGACTTTCTATTTATAATACCAGTATTTTTAAAATTGTATTCGACGTTTTACAAATGACTCAAGTTGATGAAAAATGTTAATCTAAAGGAGAGTGCAAGGTGAGGGTGATGCCATGAGAGCGACGTGCAGAAGACTGACCTTGGGGAGCACCGCTGTCAAAAGTGGCGCCACAGTCAGGGTCAGGGGCCCGGGGTTGAGATTTTGTCTGTGGCAAATGCTTGGAGAGACTTTCCAGCCTTCCTGTCTTCTCATCTCTCTTCACAGTTGGCTGCAGAGATGCAGGGAAGCATTATCTTCCTCTTTTCTATCTTGTGTGAATGTCTCTGAACCCATTTGTTTTTCCTGCTATAAAATGTAGTTACTACAGCACGGATGCTTAGCATAGAACCTGGCACCTAGTATGTACTTGATAACTGTTTTTGTTAGTTTTATTCATTCATTATTGTTGTCATCATTATTTTACTTTTCCCCTCTGATTAGGCAACAAGGAATGTTTTGTTTTTATTCATTTATTTTTTAACAGTCTGTCAGTATTAAAATAGCATTCTATGTCAGTTGTACAATGTGTATTTTTACTAACTAGGTTCAGCATGTGAATGTATTTAAATATAATTTTTTTGATTTGCTGAATTTGTGTTGCTCACTAAGCTAATACAGTAACTTACCTCTTCTCAATGTTAATATTTTGTGTAGGCATATGGCAAATTTTAGGTACAGTAAGGTGTGCTTCATCTTTGGGAGGATAATCTGTGTGACGGAGGAGATCTAATGCTCTATAAATGTCGCATGATCAGAATTAAAGGCCATGAGTATTTGGACTGGAGAATAATAAGAGTATAATTCAAAACTCTAAAATATCCCCTGTATTTTACTGATAGACAGTGGCATCTCTTCTCTTACTGTTTTTTTCCTTGTACCTAATATCTAGAACACTATTAAAATGAGGTGGTACACATCCACACACACTGAGTGCCCACAGCAGGCTGCAAGGGTTAGGGTATGGTGTGGACGGGATGAACTCTTGGCCATCGCTGAAGAAGTCTTTCTGAGCTTCTACCACACAGAGAATATATTTTGAGGATTCTGATCAGTGAAAAGGAATTAGGGCTTGTCCCCAAACTCCTCAGAGTCTCTCCTGTGACGTAGGTAGGATATGAATCTGAAAGGTTCTCTGTCCTTGTGGGCCATCCCAGCTGTGAATGAGACTGTGCGACGATGAGCTGGGTGGGTGGGTGCCCACGGGCAGCTCCCCTTCCCTGACCTGCAGTGGTTCCGTAGTTCAGGCTTCAGAGGGGGTCCCGGCCTCCTTGGCCAGGGAAGGCTCTGCCTCCGATATGTGAATGTGTTGGCCTGTCTCCATTCCTTATTCATCTCACTTCTGGTTGGAATGTTCTCAAGTATTCTACTTTAATGGTCTCTCCATTCAGTCTTCATACTGAAATCTGTATGTAGCCCCAAATTGGCTCTAACTCGGTCCTCAGTCACAATATAAGATATCAGGCCCATCAGGCAAGATTTTTGTGTATTTTAAGGACACAGAGTAGGATGTTTCCGTGTAGGAGCACATATAATACTCAACAAGGATTAGTATTTTTCCACAAGTGAACACTGTCATTTGCCTGGCAATTGAAACAGAAACAGAGAAACCTAAAACTGAATTAGATCTGTATTAATCTGCAATTACCTGGAAATATATATATATGAAGTATATATATATATATATATATATATATATATATATACTTCAAGTACCTAGAACCAAGAACCCTAACAGTCTTTAAGATAAATTTTTTTTATTTATTGATATGAAAGAAAGAAACATTGATTTGTTCTTCCATTTATTTATGCAATCATTCATTCATTTCTGTATGTGCCCTGACCACAACCTTTATATCAGGATGATGCTCTAACCAGCTGAGCTATCAGGCCAGGGCAAGAACCTCAACACTCTTAAGGTGCTCCAAAACTGTCATGGACTCAGATACAGTAAACAGATAAAGATTTATGTATGCAGTTGTGAAATACAACCTGATTAATGAGACTTTAGTAATAATCACCTAAAAGACCTCATTCTACCAGAGTTCTATCAAGATTTCTCTAAGAAGCTCAGACAAATCCTTTAAAGTGTAAATTGATACAAGAACATTGAAGTGGAGAAGAAATGTGTGACTCAGAATGCAAATGACACAAAGGCAAATAATTTACTGCTTTCTTGAAAATAGAAAGTTTCTTGAGGGTTACTTTAGTCATTCATTTTGCAGAAAAGGCATAAGATACCACCTAGAAGGACTTAAAACTGTACATTACTCATTCCAACCATGTGAGTAAGGCAAATGCGCAGATATTATTTATAAAGCAAGTTCCAGAGTGCTTACATCCATGGGTCAGCACAAAGGCAGACTGGCTTTCTCTTACCTTCTCATTCTTTGGCACATTGCAGAGATTAATCCTGATGACAGTACTGAGTCATCAGGAAAAGCATAAACTATGTTTAATACATAGAATTTTCTAAAGTAGAGACCTGTGCAGTATATTTTATAACTTCTACTGAAAAGAGTTTTAATAAAACATTTTAATATCTCAGTATTTATTTTGCCTCCTGGGTTCTCGAATATTGGGTTATCCTTTTTTAATTCAATCAATTAATTAATTATTTATAGAGAAGGGAAGGGAGGGAGGAAGAGAGGGAAAGAAACATTGATGTGTGAGAGAAACAGCGATTGATTGCCTCTCAGCAGGCCCCCAACTGTGGACCTGGCCTCACCCTAACTGGGAACGTGGCCTGCAACCCAGGCATGTGCCCTGACCAGGAATTGAACCTGTGACTTTTCATTTTACAGACCAGCGCTCAACCCGTGCGCCACACCAGCCAGGGCTGGATTATTCTTAATAAACTATTGCCCTGGCTGAAGACAGAATGATGACCAGTGTAGTCAACAGAGGACAGATGACAGTTTTAGAAATCAAAGTTGTTTGCATTTCCTATGAATAATTTAAGGATTTGCTAATATCTTTTACTTACCTAACAAATATTTATTAAACACTTTGATTACATGTCAGTGTTTAAAATACTTTCTGAGTCTTTAGATCTGTCTCTTCAACTGAATAGGAAATTGGAGAGAAGAGAGCTCAGATTTTTCAAGATTAGTTGAACAGCTTTTTTTTTCTGTTTATCATTCAGACTGAAACCAGAGTGAAATATATTATTTAATTGTATTGACACTTATGAACTGAGAAACCAATGGGAGATACTTGAGTGATTTAGGTTTTGAGAAATACAATATTAAATTAAAATAGAAGCTTGGACCCAGTTTTAGCTGCCTCATCTATTCTAGACAAGTCGTTCACTTTTTCCCTCTGCCTGCTGATGGCATTCTGCTTGGAGCCATTTCCTTGTGTTCCCAGTAATTGCTGGGAGTATAGTGAACGACTGTTTTTGAAGCTGTAATGACCTAAAACCAGTCATCACTAGAGCATCATGAGGAAACATGGCTCCTGTAAGTTCATATGTAAGTGGGCTTTGACTCCAAATTGCCAGTTCATATTTGTAATTTTTGTGTAATTTTAGCATGGAAATAATTTCTAGCTCAGATTGTCTGTTCATTCTTTTTAAGTCTTTGATATCAAATAGAGTTCCAGGGAACAGTAAGCATAAAGGGACGTGCACTCTACTCAAAGCCTGATGATATTTCATTTCCTCAGAATGAGATATCTGGGAAAACCTTCTGTCTACTACGGCATTTTAGGTTTTATGGTGATGTAGGAAAGTTGTTTAGGATGGATAGGGATAGAGAAACCAGTGTCTGACTAGAAAAAGGAAGTATGGAGGTACTTTAAATGGTTGATATTCTGTAAGTAGTATATTTAGTTCTACTTAAAAGTTAGGCCCAAGGAGTTTAATTTTTATGGCTGTTATATTATGAGTAAAAAAATTGACGTGTATGTAATTATTAGCAGAGAGTGACCAAAAAATCTTATCATCTTGGAAGAAGGCACTAGAAAAATAATTCTACCACAGTTCTATCAGATCACGAACTCCCAAAAACTAAAACTCATACTAGGTATAACCTTGAGTATTAACTCTCAGATTCTCAGTTTTGTAGTTTGACTAGTTCTTGAAAAACCATAAAGGCATAAACAACCGGATAACCTTTGTGGAAGTTCTTATATGTGGAAACAATTTGCAAACTTGAGTTATAGCTAGAGAGATAGATTTAAACATTTTAGGTCCTTATTATAAGTAATTTTTTTCTTTGATTACAGCATCTTCACAACTATTTCACAGTGACCCTTGGAATTCCTGCTTGGTGTTCTTACGTCTTTTTCGTCATAGCCACCTTGATTCTTGGCCTTCTCATGGGTCTGGTAAGAGATGATGCTAATCTTTCCTTGTCTTTAAAGTCAAATGGGTTTCATGCAAAACTTCAAAGCAGCCAAGAAAGAAAAAGCACATAAACATAATTTTGTGTGTAGTCTAAGCAGTTAGGTGGTATTTCCTTGTTTGATATCGCTTTCAATGGTAGTTGGAGATACAATGGAAAATTCATTAAATCATTACTCCTAATCCTATCCCTTAAATATTATGAAGATGTGTGCTGCCCAAAATATAGGCAGCGGTGAAAGAAGAGAGAGAGACTGTATTTTAATTCATAGTTCCCAAGACAGCCCAGTCAGCTGTGATTGCACACATTCCGACTTGATGAGGACACTGTGGTGTTAAGGCCAAAACTGTGATTCTGTTCCTTAAGTAGATAGGATGGTTTTTTCTTATTCATATCTGTCAACTAAACCTCTAGTCCTGGCCAGCTACTTATACATACACTCTGGTTTTCCCAAAGTAGACTTAATCAAAAGGATAGTCAATATTGTGGGAAAAAGTAGGATGCAAAGCACATCACTGCTTCTTCTTTGGGTGTGACAGTCAGTGTCCAGTAAGTATCTGTGTGTTTTCTCCCTAGCTATTTTAGGAGGAGTTGGAATAATACATTTATTTATTTAACTGTATAGGCAACTATATGTATGTGTTTTAGCATGTTTTACTCTGATAAAATTTTTTAATCTTCCTCTTTGCCTACACTTGATCAATTTGATTGAGCCTTAAACTAATTAATATAAATTTTAAAAGCCCTTAAACTACATATTAACCCCGTAGCTCCTAAATGCTATATGACAGGAATAAGTGAGGATTACTAAAAATTTATATAAAAAAGGATAGATTTTTAGTTAAGATTATCTTCAAAGCCTGTCCTTACATTTTATAATGAATGTTGGCTCTTTAGCAAAGTCTTTTTAACAATAAGTTAAAAATATTAGCAATTGTCTTTATAGCTTTAGCAAGTCATTAGTATGACAAAGTCCGGGGAGCCAGGAGGCTCAATTTTATTTTGCCGTGAGCATGCTTACTTCATATTATGGTTTATATTTGAGATACGACTAATGATGTTAACTGCCTGGGTGGGGATGGAACTTAGATGTCATTCATTAGGCCCTGGGTGTGTTCCATTCTGATGCATTAATCTTAACTGCTATTAACATATCCCTAATGCTCCAGCCTAAAGATTTTGACTTCAGATATAAATTTGACTTTCAATGTAAATGTACTCCCATCTACTGTGTAGTGGTAGATTTTTCTTGTGGTATATTCTGGAGACATGCAAGTATGAGGTTCTTGTAGGGGGAACAGCATGAGATCCTAGAACATTCTAAGGTGGAGTTATAGAGATTGTAGGTTGAGTGTGAGCCTATTTAAGACCATTGAAAAGTCTTCTCAGCCTAAAGAGTTTTAGAATTTTATCTTTGAGGTTGACTATGTCAGGCCTACCTATGCCCTAAGTTCATTTGGAAACTTAGATTCAAATAATCAGTATAGGAAGGCTATTAGAGGCTTGACTCAAAGGAAGAAGAGAGTTGATTCAAGATTATTCAGGTGATTAAGTGATATATTATTCCTTTATAAGAAGGGAAGAGAACTTTTTTAACAAAATAATAATTTCAAATCAGTAATAGACTCATAAATTGTTTAATACATTTTCATAGAATAGCATACATATTATCTCTACTTAAAATGCTTTTTTCCAGTTGTGATATGTGTTGAAACACATGACACCTAGAATTTTTGTCTTGAGTGAGGTCTTCAGGTATGCGGTTTAGTGCTTGGAGTCATTTTTGCCATGAACTGGGGGCTGGAAGGAGAGCCCAGGCCTGCAGTCAGGTGAAGCGTGGTCCTGATGACCTTGGAGGCTCTCCTTCCCTCAAAGAGTGTTTGTGGCATTTATCCGATGTGGTGGCCCTGAGGGGCTGGATGATTTCCATGGAAAAGAATTTCCTGATCAAGTCATCATTTCCCATAAGCCTGACTATTAAGTTTCCTATTTGTGCCTAATTTTAAAAGATGAAAAGTCAAAACAAGGCTGCTAGTTTGATATTTGTTGTTTTCTTGATTGAACCTAGTCATAGGTGAAGAATTTTATTAGATGTTGTTTTCACATGTAAACAAAGAGCTTGGTTTTAGAAATCCAGTATATATTTTGGATTTTAAACCAATATGGAAAGATCGCTAAGTGCATAGGCTATGAATCAAATCACTTTGGCAGCATCATTTTCTGCCATAGTAACTCTGCTCTGAAGGGTGGAAGACAGCAAACCACTGGACAAGGAGAAAAACAATGGAAAACACAGGCAGCAATGTTTTGCCTCTGGTCTCCATGTCGCTTGGTATAGAAGCTGTCTAAATTTTGGTGCTTAGGTAGATTATTTTTCTGCATGCCGATGACCAGTGACTACACAGAACCTCCCACTGAAAAATGCCACTGTCCATGAAAGATAGTAAATTCGTCTGCTCTTCTTAGATACATGTCCATCTGTATCTTCCTGGGTAAGAGCTGAAACCTGAAAATAACAGCCTGGAATGGAAGATGAAGAGGAAGGGACTGTTCCCCTGTACACACTGATATTAAATATGCCCTTCTTAGTGGTTCAGAAAGTGGCGCATTCCAAGGGAATGATTCTCCCAACCAGAAAATAGATCTAGAACTGAGAAAGTATGTTTTATTCCCAGTTTTTGAAAAGAAAGACTGCATAGCAGAATTATGTACTGTTGGATGTAAAACAGCCCTTGATGTTAGGCTAGCCCAAAGCCATTTTTTCAAGAGAGAGTACAAGCGAGGGGCATTTAAGTCACTTGTCAGGCCTCATAGCTAATGAGAGACAAAGTTGAGGCTTGTGTTCCATAAGTCTTTTCTAGGCTTAATGTTGAGGTTCCTTGGTAATAAAAGTCCCATCTACTCAATACAAAATCGCATTTTCCCCCTTCCAGGTCTTGGTGGTAATATCAGAGTGTTTCTATGCGCCAGCTCCCCAGCGTTTGTCTGAACACCCTGGTAAGTACGATAAACTGATGCAGCAGAGTATTTTTGGAATTCTGTGTTGTGCCCTTTTGTGCTCATGTAGGTGGTGGATTTTACCCCGATTTGCTAGGTTACCAAACCACCACCGCTACCAAATTCCTTGAAATATGTTCTCTAGATAGACCTGAATAAAAAAAATGCCCTTTTTTTCTCTCTTAAATTAAGGAATATTTCATTGTGGCAATTTCTCTTCCCCTTCATGAATCAGTTGACACCTTTTTTTCTTCATTCAAAATGGAAAGAAAAGGGAGAGAGGGAGGGGAACTCCCATTTATCAGCTCTCTACTGTGTGCCAGTTACTATTCAAAGTGCTTTACAAAAAGTATCCATAAGTCTTTGTACTGTTCCACACTGTTGCTGAGACCAAAGAGCACGTTTTCAATCCTATTTTTGAAATTTTGCATGTTTTCCATCCTATTTTTGAAATTTTGCATGAAGACTTTTATGAGACTTTGTAATTGTTGAAATTTATGTCGAAGTTTAAATAAGCTTATATTTCTTTTTAGTTTTTGAAGTTTTCAAGGCTTTGAGACTTCCATAGACACAGTAAAGCACCGCTTAACCACTGGAATACTTATGAGACTTAGGAGAGGTGTATTGTTAGGTGTGATTTAGTCTTTGTGCAGCCATCAGAGAGTGCACTTACACATGCATAGATGATACAGTCTGCTGCTGTAACTATATGTGTGATGCTTTTATACAGGTAGCAGCAGAGCAGGTTTGTTCACACCAGCATCGCCACAAACACACAAGTGATACATGGCAGCTGCTACATCACGAGGGCCATGATAGGAATTTTCCAGCTCTGTTATAATCTTGTGGGACTGCTGTAGCATATGCAGTGCATTGTTGGTTGTGATGTTGTAATGTGGAACATAACTGTAATTATAAGGTATTATTACGTACCTTAGAATTCTTAGAAGTAACAGAAAGCCAGTGTAATGCAACTTAGGAAAAAGAAAGAAAAATATATTAGCACAAGTAACCAAAACTCCAGGGATATTCTAGATTCAAGCCCAGCCCAAGAGATGTTAGATTTCTCTTTCTATGTGACTGATTCAGTAGCTGTCAACAGCAATAGCAATTGCTGTAGAAAGAGAGAACGCTTTTCCTTCTGACCCTGGCCAAAAACTGCTGGGGAACTCGGATTGGCCCAGCCTGTCATGTGGTGAACTATTTCCCATGACCAGTGAGTTGGTCACTGAGCTTTCTACAAGGTACAAAATACAAAGCCTGTGGGACCTTTGCCTTCCCTGTCCAACATGCTCTGCCAAAGTCAACACAGTCAGTGAAATCTCCTGAGAGGGACGGAGGAGCCCTGAACAGGGCTGGGATGCCCATCAGTGGTCTGTCCTGTGTAATAACAGCTTCAGTATGGAGAAAACTGCCACGTGCCCACCCCCTTTTTTATTTCACAGGCAAACACAGTTATGTGATTGCTGAATGACCATTGTTTATTCAGAGGCTGTTCCCCTCTTTTCCCTCTACAGAGCAGAATCGGAAGTCTGAGGAGGCTCATAGGGCGGACCAGTTGCAGGATGCAGAGGAGGAAAGAGATGATTCAAATGAAGAAGAAAACAAGGACAGTCTTGTAGACGATGAAGAGGAGAAGGAAGACCTTGGCGATGAGGACGAAGCAGAGGAGGACGAGGAGGAGGACAACCTGGCTGCTGGTGTGGATGAGGAGAGGAGTGACGCCCAGGACCAGGGGCCCCTGAGGGAGGCCCAGGAGGAAGTAGAACCTGACGAGACTGAGGAAGATGCCCCTGAGCAGCCCCGCTCACCTGACACAGAGGTGGCGGAAGACACACTGCGGCAGCGCAAAAGTCAGCATGCTGATAAGGGGCCATCGGCTTAAAGACAGTATTTCCAAGAATACAGAGCAGAAGAATATGTCAGCTTCCCTCTGGACTTCAGTTTAAACCAAACCCTCATTGTTTCCTGAGTGAGCGAGCTTCTCTTCTAAAGAAAGTGATCTCTAGACATGTGGTCGCATGGCATGAAGCCCAATGTCTAATAATGAGAACTTTCAGGCATGACAATCAGGATACGTGGTGTTAGGATAAGTTTGGGGGCTTGGGATGAACACAAGTTTAAGTTTACCTGCTTGGGCTAGAGAGCTTGGGTCTGAGGAAGTAATTCCCAGCCCTCGGGAGTACTGCTCATTGTCAAGGCTGCAGGCCCCGCAGTGAAAGCAAAGCAGCCTGACCATCCCAGGTGTAGCAGAAGTTACGCTTCCTCTTGTGTTAAATATATAATTTTTGTTAAATTCCTGTAAGAAACATCAGACATCATAGTAGTGTCCCTTTGGTAGAAGTAGAAATTGAGAGGGCCCTGCATATTGTAGAAAAGAGCTTGGAAGTCATCCTGACTCTAAATCTCCTTTATTAGGTTTTACTTCTTACCTTGAGTTATTTCCAGCGTTCCCACCGTGGGCCCGCAGGCCGCCCACACTCCCCACAGTACTTCTTTAGTGAGAGGGCTCAGACAGCAGCCCGGTTGACATCAGCTGCGTTTACTCAACTTAAGGGTTTAGGTACTCAAGAACCACAGCCATGGAACTGTGACTGCCGAGCCTCTCGAATACAGCATTGTAACCTTTGGAGATTCAGAGGAAGTAGGGATTTTACAGGAGAGAGTTTTATTGTTTTTTGCCAAAATGCAATATTTTTCGAAAAGTTCTTTTAGCACTGTTTGTTTTTTTTTTTCAATCCAGAAGTCCCCTAAGCTTCGCCAGTACAAGGTAGCCTTGTGAAGGACACTTGAACACTGTGTTGTTTTGTTTCCATCTCCAGGGGTTCCCTGGTCTTGAACCACTTTAATAACTGAAAACCATTTCTGGTTTTCCTTCAGTGATGTCCTTTTGGTGAAAGAATTAATGAAAGTGAATATCTGGAAATGAAAGATTTGGTTTCATTTCCTTCTTCCTTAATCTTGTAAAGAATTTTATCCCTGTAATTCTCTCAATGCTCAATCTACTAAGAGTACCCAAGGGGCCCAAGTTCTTTTAAAAAAATCCATCCATCTCCTTCTGCCGTACCTGATTTATGTCTTAGAATAAATTCATAAAATTAGATTCCAAGCTTATGAAAGATGACTAAAGTTGACTCTACACCCCTTGGGTCTGGACAGAATAATAAGTAGTGCGGGTTTATGAAATTCAAAAGTTTTCTGTCACTTTTAAAAAGAAATATGCAGTATACTCTTATCTGGCTGTTTAGATAACCCTTTCCTTCTGTGAACTTTGAACACTGGATCACTGGTGGGAAGGGGAGGTTCTGAAACTTGCTATCCTATACTTGAATGAGCCTGTTGCAAGCCTCACACAAAGGGACTTTTTATTCTGCTAGAATCCAATTTTTGGAGGTGGTTTTTTTTTAATCTTTCCAGCTCAGCTACCTGACAGTCTCATCCCCCAGCGTGGTGAAGTTCATTAAGGGCGACCAGCCTGCGCGGCCGTGAAGCTGGGAGATCCCAGTTGGGCCAGGGATGCCAGATCTTGTCCTCCCAGCCCTGTGACCCTCCCTGACGGCCCTCAGTAAAATGGTTTGATCCCCTTCCCCTGCCCACTGCCCTCCCGAAAGAGTCACCAGTAGTTTTTCTCTTGTGACAGCAGCAAGACTTTCAGTTTGAGGCCATTAGAGAAATGAGGGACTGGAAAATCTTGACTTTTGCTCCCACCTGGGAGCAAAATTTCCTTTCCATCCGACCAGGTAGGTGTCTGTCACGTCTTTGTCTGAAGTGCCATCCTTCTGATGGTGGCAGCTCCAGCTCCCTGGTGCCAGGAAGGTTTTTCTGGGTCATTCTCATTGCTGAGGTCGGTGGGCTTTCCTGTCACTGGATTTCTCTCTCTCCTACAATCAGTGGAAGCACGTTTTCAAAGATCTTCAAGTTCAGGGTTATAGAATAAGAAAGGTTTCAGTTTGCTTTTTCTGTATAATCTTCCCCTCCCTCATAATAAAATGATTTTTTTGAAGTGGAGCAGAAATGAAATCAACTTTAGCTTTTTAGAAATGTGAGGCCAATTTCCAATTGGACCCCAAATAGTACCTAATTATATAATTTTTTAAAACGCCTTTTCTTCTTAAGCAATAGTTTTAAAAAATTGGAGGGGAGAAAAGCAACTTGGAAAAGAGAATTTATTAAAAGTTTAAATGCCTGGCTGTGAGAACCATTTTTCCTGTTAATACCCTGTTTGTTATTCTGGAAGTCAAGTACATGGGAACACAATTTTGATTTAAAGAGTGAAAAATAATCATGCTCCCCTATATTGCAACGTCAGTTTTTAATTGCAAAATAGTATTTTGTATAAATCAAAATTAGGTGAATGAAAAGTAAGTGGATTTTGAAGTGGGAGTGCAGTGCTGTAGGTGTGAGTTGCAGCAGGTGCCTTTCTGTTGATTAGAAGGAAAGGTTGAAACTTAGCTACCTTTTTCTTAGTTTCTTCTATTACTCATCTAGTTCTGCTACACCGTCCCAGCTTGCCCAGAGGCCTCGGACTGAGGCAGCATTCGTAGCCAATCCCATGTCTCTCATTCCCTTTGGACTACAAGCATCGGATGGGTGAGAGGCGGGGCCCATTCAGCTCACTGCATGGGCGCGCACAGCCTGGGCTCCTGCATGCAACCTCTGCTAGCCACAGGCCTCTACGTAAAGAAATTTGAAATAACGACTATAGTAAAAAAGTAAACAAGCTTTGGCCAGTTGGGTGTCTGACGCTGGCAAAAGCTAAATGTTGACTGATGGCCAAAACCCCTAGTTGACAGCTATGGTGGTGCTCTGTGATTGGGGTACACGCAAGCCTGTAGAGCCTGCATCCTGTAACACCTTTGGCGTAGAGGATAAAATGTCTTTCAGGACAAGTACTTAACGTGTGACTTTTTATTACCAAGTCCTTGAAGAGTGGACCCTGTATGTTCTACAGGATGGATTAAACAGTCACACACACAAAGACAAAATAGGGTGTTCCTGAGATTACAGCATATAATCTTAAATTGGCATGAAGTGAGAGAAATAAAGGAGATCGGTGCTTTTGCTGATGTACCAGTATTTACCTGTGCTTTATCACAGGATTGAAGTGTTATTTCTGCCAGTGTTATAAATATGTGGTGTACCCACCATATCAAATATAACAGCATTTTGGAAAGTGTTCATTTAAATCTTTTGTGCCAACAAAAAAGATTCCTTGTTCAGTATCTCTTTACCTCAGTCCTCCATTTTGATGCTCTTGGGGATTATAGCTTGCCTTGAAAAACTAAACATGGTATCATCAAATCTGATGAGATGAGACCCTTGACACAAGCTTTTTGAGCAGCTTTCCTGAACCAGGAGGTTCAGTTGAAAGGCCTGTGATAGCTTCAGACCAGCACATGGCCTTCAGATGGCTTATTCTCAGTCAAGTTTCCTGTGAACTGTGACATTGTATATGTGTGACTCATGCACCAGTGATGTGTTTCCAATATAGTTTCATTGTATTTGTTACTAAATAGCTTCTTTGTGCAGAGGCAATTTTTATACTGAAGATACTTACTTGTATTTCAATATGTTATAAATTTATTTATATTCTTTGTAATAGTCTTGATTATTTAGCCCAGTGATACTTAATTATTTTTCTCTTCATCCATGTATTCTTTGCTTCCTTAACTAGTATTTGCAGCAACTGGAATCAAGACGGGAGTTTCTAGCAGTACATTGCCTGACTTGCAAAGCACCTTAATCACAAAATTGTACATAATCCCTGACCCTGTAAGTTTTCATTTTATGTAAGTTCCCATTTGCCTTAAAACCTAAGGATAATGACAACTGAGTAAAATCAAAACAATCCATTGCTTTTTATATAAGTATTTTCACAAAAGTCATTTGCTTAGGCAGTGAGAAATATTGCTTTGTTATAAAGATAATTTTCCTGTGTATCCACCCTCAATCCAGTCTACTTTTCCTCTTTCCTCCCCGGCCTGGTGAAACCCAAACCATGTGCCTTCGGCTGTTCTGGAAAGTGCACATCACCAAGGAAGAACTGTCAGAGGGCTCCTTGTCACAGCCCATTGTGTGTCCATAGAAACTCACTGCGCTCACCACCCAGGGCTCCGTCCTGAGGTCTGGGGGAGGCCAGGGTTGGCGCAGATGGCAAGTGAGGCTGCTCTAACGCTTCAAGACACTGGGCTGACCTGGCTTCCTAGGGTATTCAGAAGGCGGGTCTGCACCTAACCCTTCCCATCATTAAAGCAGGTGAGGTGACTTGCAGACACTCTTGGGGGCTAAAATAATGGGGATGAAATTTTTCACTTTTGAAAAATAGGGGGATGTGTAGTAAAATGATTAAATTTCCATAACACTAAGTTCTTCCCTCAGAGAAACTGACTCAGAATATATACCGGTCTATGTAATGAAAAATACCCGTTCAGCAGTGCCTCAGCCTACATGAACGTGGCTGCTCACCCTTGGAGGGAGCAGAACCTGTATCTTTGGAAGTCCACGACACTGAGCTACTAAATGCAACCCCCTGCTTCACCCCAGTCATGAAGGCTCTTTGGAACGTGTTCCACAGTAACAGGACTTGTTCTTACAACGTGAACTTGAAGTTGATAACTGTATTAGGCTAGTCTAGACTGTTAACAGGCTCCCCAAATTTAGGACCTTTTAGAACAAGATTTTTATTTGCACTTAGCCCACCTCAGGCATCCAGGCAGAAATGGCTCTGCTTTAGGCAGGTTTTTCTGGGACCCAAGTCAAGAGAGGCTTTTTCTAACATGGCTTCTAACTAAGGTGGCTGTGGTCACTTTCATCCCAGCCAGTCAAAAGGGGAAAGTGCATGGTGGAGCATTCCTGGCAGATTTTAAGGGTAGGCTGCCAAGAGACACATGCGCCATTTCTGGTCACATTTCCAATGAAGGGACTTAGTCACAGGGTCACACCTAACAGGGATGCTGGGATGCGTCATCTTGGCCCCAACGACTTTGTCTTACCTATGTTTGTAAGTGTGCCTCACAAGCTTAAGCTCCCGAGGAATGAATAGCAGTACGAATTCCCAGGTGGCAGGAGAGAAAATACACATGGACCCAACACTGGTTGTCTTCCTTCTGGACTTCACCGTTATTGGGCTGTAAATTTCCAGAGTTTTCGAGTTGTGATGCGGTGTTCTTGTAGAAATTACATTATACGTGGAAAGATGGACATTCATAAATGGGATAAGAGTTCCAAATGGAAAAAAGATGCTGTGTGAGCTTATGAAAAAGGAATCTGACCTGGGCTGAGGGTTAAAGTGGTAACATGTAACTAGGAGGGCAAGATTAAGAATTGTGGTGGCAGAGATGGATTTGGGATCCCTCAGATGTACCCAGGCAACCTTCAAGCTGCACATGTGGAGAACAGGACTGGCAATGGGAGATTCTTTGTGGAGCCATCAGGGTAGATTCTGAGCTTCGTTTTCATTTTGTATGGGGAGCGATGAAGTCATCATTTTGTTTTGTTTTTTTTAATTAATCTTTGAAGATTAATTTTAACACTTTTGAAGTCAGCAGATATTGAAATCATTAATTTATAAACTCCATAAATCTCCTTAAGAGTGATTCTAGTTAATAGACCTCTGATTACTCATATTAATCTAAAAATTACCCTTTGGAAAGATTTATGCATCAGAATTCTTTGTGTTCTGTTGTTATGGGTAGGGCATATGAGGATAATTCCTAAAATTATTTATTATAGTCACTAGAGTAGAGATGATAGGATAAACCCAGACCACATTTGAGCCCCAAAGGGACCAACTGATAAGCTCACAAAATTAAAGAGTTGTTATTCTGTGGGATTGTTCTTCAAACTCTAGCTCTCTGTGCAACAAATTCTAAGCATGAATCTCAATCTAATAAATAGATTTAGAAACCAGCAGGTTATGGGTTGACTATTGACTATTTTGACTAATAACAATATTGTACAGAGTACTCTAAACTTTTCATATCATCGACTGCTCCATAAATGGGAACCAGCTGTGGGCAAAGCCATATGGTTAAGCTACAGCATCAAGTTATTTGACCCTCCCTCAGAGTGTTTATTCTACTGACTGGAAAAGTGTTACCTCCTAACAGAGCAAATTGGCCTTTTAAATGGCATTAAATAGAGTGATTTCCTTTTCTTCTATGCTTTTTAACATACATGAGTAGTATTGGCATTTGTTTAAAACTGCAGGTCTGCTTTCATGCTTTAGCAGAAAGAGGAGCCCTCTGTCCTGTGGCTACACACAGTCCTAGCACAGGGTAAAGTAGTGGCCTCAGGAAAGGTTCCTTACTATTCTTGAGCAAGGAGAACTGCCTAATTTATAATATGCAAAAAAAAAAAAAAAAAGTAATTTAGGGGAAACCCAAGTCAGGAGAGATCTTAATGTACATTGTTTTAAAAAGGATTAAATTATTGGCCTTTTAGCAGGCTAATGAGAGGAGTCTCCAAGGAGGATTTTAGCACTTTTAAAACTTATTTAACAACAAATATTGTGGAGCAGAAAAATGGAAATCTCTCCCACTATAAACACTAGAAATGTTGGCTAAAGTGTAACTAACATCTTTCTTAAAGGCAAAGCTGACCATAAAAGAAAGCAAAATACACAGGGGCCAACAACCATGAAGCAAGTAAAGGTGACCTGGAACCGGGGCTGCCCCAGGGGCAGAGGGAGTGGAGATCTGCTGCCCTCGGTAACCAGAGAGCATAGGTTTCACTGGCCACGTAGGTATGGATGCGAGATTTTGGCTGTAGCAAGGTGCGACGTGGGAACTGAAATTGCATGACACTCCCAGCTATATCCTCGGTAAAACAAACAAAAATGCTCACTAGCACATGGAGACTACAAGAAAGCTCATCTCTCTTGGCCTGGTCTTTGTGCTGAAAAACTGGACTTTCCTGAGAAATCATATGGGCCTGACCTTACACAAATTGAAGTGTGAATTTACACTAGCTTCGTAGTCTCCAAACCAAGAAACACTCATAAACATGCTCATGGAGGTGGGGGAGTGGGGGAGTGTCTTTAGCAGAAACCAGTGCAGGACTAACTGCTATTGAAAACACCTTCAACCCAGCATAAAGATTCCTATAGATAAAGCCCCACTAAGATGAACTCACAATCCAAAGTTACAAATGACACATGGAAACTATCCATCAGACAGCAGGACTAGACTTGCCCCAATCCTTGAAGTAATATTGTCAGATAAAAAAATAACTTTAAACTTTGAAAAATTATTAAAAACATCAAAGGAGTGTAAAACACAGTAGAATAAGGCACTTCTTTTCTTAGAATAACATATTCCTGGTTCATCCTTGCAATTGCTGTCCAGAGTTTCACTGAATGAATATGCATCACATTGTTTATTCATTCTACAAAATGAATCGACAGACACATAGTGTTTCCAGTTTTTGACTGGCCCTTTGAATCTTTTGATAAAGAGACATTCCTAGAACTACTTTACTAATAATAATCTTTGGTAGGAATACTGGAGTGTTAGAAATATATTCCTTAGGATTTTCCCAGATGTGTTCTTATGGCACCAGAGAGCAACCTACATCCCCCTCACGGAGGGGGGATACTTGAGAAAAGAGATACTAGAGCGGGTCTTCCTGGGGCTGAACCCCATGTGCACCACTTGCCAGCGGTGTCAAGTCAGTCAAGTTACCGAACTTTGCTGTGACTCACCTTTATAGTGGGAATAGTAGGGGACATCCACAACCAATAATGAAGTTCTTAAAGGCATCGGAGTTTAAAAGATATATGTGTAATGGATTACCAGGTCACCAGACCAGGACGTAGAAGACTGGAAAGGTTAGGGATGTGATCCCGGTGTTGGGACTGTTTTTCTCCTGAGGGCATTTGCTATTTCTAGGAGTAGAGGGTGGCGAGTATGTTACAGAGTCTGAGTGATGCTTTTGAAAGCTTTGGCTGAGGAGACAAGGATTGGCTAAGGAAGGGAGGGCCTGTAAAAATCCCTTGGTTGGATTGGGTCTCTAAAAGGGCTCACATTAGAGAAAAGGATGAACCAGAATTAAACAGGCCCCCACAGCTCAACCTTGATCTATTCAGCTCCTAAAAATAGGTTGATGTGATTCTGGAAGCAAGCATAAATGCTGCGAAGAAGTAAATGGGGAATGATTGAGTTACTAAGTTGAGTGGTGTGTTCTCTTGCCTTGTTTATTTTGCTACAAAATAGGATTCTGTGGTCTAAATGAGTTCTGGCGTTCCTATAGCCCTGTCTCTGTGGATTTTTCATTCAAAGGACCATAACCTAAGAATCAAAAGGAAACATTAATTTCCTTATATTCCTTTCATTCTCGGACTCTTTTAGTACCCAAAACCATCTCTTTCTCAAGCCAGCCTTATCCCCCTTTTATTCTCTGGTCTCTCCCTGAAAAACAGTGTATGGTGTTCCCAAAGTGTGAACTGTTTCCCCCTCTATTTTGCTCTTCCCTACTAGCTCTCTACTTTTACCTTTCCTGGAGAAAGATCCTTTCTGATACGGATACCCCATCTTTGCTTATAAGGTCCTTCTCACTGCACAATTAAGCCACAGAGATCCAGAAAACTGGAAAATACCAAAATGACATTGCCATCATTCTCCTTGATTGGGAGATGAGGTGAGAGGGAGGCCATGAATACGCAGGTGTCAAAAGAAATTGTGCCTATGTGCCTGTTACACTTTACATTTGCTGCCCCCAACTTTTCTAGTTTATTCTGGGCAGATCAAAATCCCTGCCAGGTTCAGTTGCTTCTGCCAAAATTCATCACTGTCCTTTCCACAAACACTGGAGGCAGAGAATGGGAAAACTCCCCGATGGCCAACATGTCAAATTTAGTGTTTAATCCCTTCCCCTGTTGAGAATCTCCATTCCTCTTCTCTAGTCCTCATTCTTCGTATAATGAAAGATGGTTTATCTGACAGACACTCTGGAGGTAGAGGCTATCATGAGGTGCTCCTCTATTCCACAGCAGAAGCCAATGCTGGCCAGTCTGGTCTTCCAAGGGTGATCTCTACATGGACTCACCCA